TCCTCCATCCCTCCCTTCTTTCCACCCTCCATCCCACCCTCCATCCCTCCCTCTCCACTCTCCACCCATGTGAGACCCCCTGGGCAGTGTCAACCCCCCCAGAGCATCACTGAGTGTCCCCTCCCCTGGGGGTTCCCTCCCTTTGGGGGATCAGGACCCCCAGGGACCATCCCTGTTTCCTTGTGGGGACCAGTTGGACGGGGAAGGAGTTCTCAGGCAGGGGGGTCCACCCACATCACAACCTGTGCCATACCTATGTCTGTGTCCATCCCCACCCACCCGTGTGTCCCAGCAGCCCCCATCACCTTCCAAGCCCACCTGCGGGACCACCCGGACCTGCCGCGGTGGCTGCGGTACCTCCAGCGGGACCCCTACCAGCCCGGCTACCTGTATGGCTGCCCCACAGCCAGCGAGGTGGGCACCCACACCATCGAGGTAGGTGCCCACCCTCACACCCCCTGCTTCTGGGGTGGCACAGGAAGGGGTGACATCTTCAGGGGTGTCCCCTGTCCTTGCAGGTGCTGGCCTACAACCGCCGCACCTACGCCACGGTGTCCCAGCGCCTCGTCATCACCGTCATCCCCGCCCCAGGTGAGGGCTGGGCACCCCCAAGTTGCACCAGGATACCCCACAGGATGGACCGGGGTTTCCCCATGGGTGCTGCGTGTCGCCCCACAGGTGGGGAGCCCCCGTACCAGGGCGAGTTCCTGGTGGGGAACAGGAATGTGGAGGAGCTGCTGCCGGAGGCCGCGCGGGAGATGTTCCTGCAGGGCTCGGCCGGAGTCTGGGAGCGCGGAGACCTCCAGGTCATCAACGTCACCTCCGCCCTGGACCGGGGCGGCCGCATCCCACTGCCCATCGAGGGGCGCAAGGAGGGGTACGGGCAGGGCTGGGGGGGTGGGGGTGCTCCCTGGGCAGACCCTGGGTGGGTTTTGGGGGTCACCTCCAGCCAGTGCCCCCGCCCCACAGGGTGCACGTGATGGTGGGTTCCCATGGGGTCTTCTCAATGTGGTTTTGGGGGCTCACCTGAAGCTGCCTTAGGGTGTACATGAGGGTAGTTTCCTGTGGCCCCTTCTCCCCATGGGTGGGTTTTGGGGGGCTACCTCCACCACAAGGTGCACATAAAGGTGGGCTCCCATGGCCCCTTCTCACTGTGGGTGGGTTTTGGGGGCCCACCTCCACTGCAGGGTGTACGTGAAGGTGGGCTCCCACAGCCCCTTCTCCCCGTGCCTGGAGTCGGCCGTGTCCCCCCAGAGCCGCTTCCGCTGCAGCCTGGGCCAGCAGCCCCTCGCCTCCTGCTACGACACCTTTGCCCCCCACTTCTCCATCCGCTGGTGCAACCTCACCCTGGTGAGACCCACGTGTCCCCCCACCTCTCACAACACCCCCCGTGGGGACCCCCCCCTCCTAACCACCCCCAACCCCGTTGCAGCTGCGGGTCTGGCCCAGCCCCACGACTCCAGGGCCGGTTTGGGGGTCCGGGGTGCTGGAGGAGGATGGGGATTTCCAGCCCCCCACCGAGGTGCCCCCCCAGGACCTGCTGCCGGGGTTCCTGGTGACACTGCTGGTGCCACTGGTGGTGGCTGCGCTGCTCTGTCTGCTCCTGGGCCACCTCATGTGCTGCCGCAGGGAGGGAGTGTGAGTTGGGGGGCATGCTCAGGGTGTGGGTCTCCCCTACCCCAGTCGGGGTGTCTCCCCTACCCCAGGTTGGGTGCCCCTTCCCCGGCCATTGTGGCCCCAGGACAAACTGGGGATGGTGAGAGCCCTTCTCACCATAATTATAATTTTTTCCCTTTTTCCCCTGTTTTGTAGGCAAAAACGGGACTTGCAGACGTCTGAGTAAGCCCTGTCACCCCAGACCGAGCTGGGGGGGTCTGGGGGGGCTGCTCTGGGAGGGCTGCTTTGGGGGGCTTTGTCATGGGGATGGGACAACAGAGGAGAGAGGGACAGGGAACGGTTTGGGGGGTGTCCTGGAGGTGGCAGAGCTTAAAGGATCCCCCCATCCCAAAAGGCCCCCCCAGCCCTCCTCCTCCCCTCCCACCCCTCGGCACCCCCCAATAACCCTCCTGAGACACGGGTTGGAGCACAAGAGCTTCTTTACTTCTCCAGTAGCCTCGGGTGGAACCAACAGCATCCAGGAGGTACCCTGGGCATGGGGGGCAGACCCAAGGATGGGGGGCAGACCCCAGGATGGGGGGCAGACCCCGAGGATGGGGGGCACACCCTGGTGATGGGTCCAGACCTCAAAGATGTGTGGGCAGACCCCCGTGATGGGTGGGTAGAACCCAGTGCTGGGGTGCAGACCCCAGTGAAGGGTGGGCAGACCCCAGTGATGAGGTGCAGACCACAGTGAAGGGTGGGCAGACCCCAGTGATGAGGTGCAGACCCCAACGATGGCATACAGACCCCAATAACAGGAGGGCAAACCCAAATGATGGGGGTCAATTCCTGGTGATGGGGGCCAGACCCTAATTATGGAGTGCAGACCCAATTTTGGGGGGTAGACCCCAATGGTGAGTGGGTAGAACGCAATGGTGAGACATTCAGACCCCAGTGAAGGATGGGCAGACCCCGGTGATGAGCTGTACACCCTAATGATGGGGGACGAGCCCAAATGATGAGTGAGCAGACCCCAACGGTGGGGGAGACAAACCCTGATAATGGGGCACCAACCCCCTCCCCAGGGGGACACGGGTGAAAACATGGGGTGCCTCATTCCATTCTCCTTCCCCTCTCAGCATCCAGCTGGTCCACCACACCACCATCCACGGGGACACGGAGGAGCTGCGGCACATGGCCGGGAGCCGGGATGTGATCCGGGATGTGCCCCGGCCCCTTTCCACGCTGCCCATGTTCAACATCCGCACGGGCCAGCGCATCAACCCCATGCCCAGCCCCCGGGATGGGGCCCGTGTGCCCCTCCTCCCTCAGTGAGGGGCACCCAGGAGCGTGCCAGGGGGAGGGGGACAATCCCAGGGATGGGAACGGGGTGTCCTGATGTTTTTGGGGGTACAGAAGCCCCCCCAGGCAGAGTTCAGCCAGATGGGTGGTCACCCTTCTGACTGAGCTCTGCCCACTGACGGGCTGTTGCCTGGAGGATTTTGGGGTGTTTCCTCTTCGGGGTGAGTTTTGGAGGATAAATTGACCATTTAGTGATGAAATGAGGCTTTTCTGCTTTATTTGCAGAGCAGGTTTTGGAGTGCCCACCCTGTTCCAGACATGATCCCCCATGAAAGGCTTGCAACCTCCATAAGGGTTGGGATGACTCTGTGCATCCCCCAGCCTTGTAGAGGGAAAAGGGAGCAGGAAGAGGATGGGAATAGGCACAA